CCATCAGTGAAGTGCTTATACAGAAGAATGAAGACCTTAGTCCAGAAAAGAAGTGCCATAGTTACCTTAATCCCAGCACTGGGGAGGCAGAGACAGGAGAATCACTGGGAGTTCCGAGAAATCAGCCTAGTTCAGTTGGTGAGCTAAGTGTTCAATGAGAAATCCTTTCTTAAAAATAGCGTACAGAGGGGCTGGAGAGATGGCTTAGGGGTTAAGAACACTGGCTTTTCTTCCAGAGGTCCTGAGTTCAAGTTCCGGCACCAAGATGACAGCTCACAGTTATTTGTAACTCCAGGATCTGACACCTTCACACAGACAGACATACATGCAGCAAAACACCAATTCACATAAAAAAATTAAGTAGCAAGACACCCAACAGCTGCCCTTGGTCTTCACATACACACAAATGCATGTATACTACAACATACATATCTAGATACACAAGAAATAAAAATTAAACAAGCAAGAAAGAAGTTTAAAGCTTGGGTATCCCTGTAAAAAAGAACACAACAAGAGCAGGGGAGAAGGCAATTCAGGCAAAATACTTGCTCTCACAGAGCATGAGGACCTGAGTTCGAATCCCCTGTCCCACATAAAGTTAGACGCCATAGCACACATCTGTAATCCCATCTCTCCTAGAAGATGAAGACAGGAGAATCTCCTGAAGCTCACAGGTCATTCAATCTGCCACTGACAGAGAAAACAAAAGACTCTGCCTTGTCTTGCCAGACGTGGTACGCCTTTAATCCCAGCACTTGGGAGGCTGAGACAGGCGGATCTCTGTGAGTTCGAGCCCAGCTTGGTCTACAAGAGCTAGTTCCAGATAAGGCTCCAAAGCCACAGAGAAACCCCGTCTCTAAATCCCTCCTTCTCTCCCCCCCGCAAAAAAAATCTGCCTCAAACTAGTTGGAAGGTGAGAATCATCACCTGAAGTTGTCTACTGACCACCAGACACCAGTCACAGCATGGCGTGCTCACACACATGACCAGCACACAGATTCCAAGGTAAACACAGAAGTTATTAGACGGAAAAAATAAGTCCTCTAGTAAAAGCTCCACTGCGTAGTAAAATGAATTAAATGAGCCAGAAGGAGGTGTCCGACAAGTTAATAAAAATTCTCTACTGAGAGCCAGGCATGGCGGTACACACCTTTAATGCAGAGATCAGTAGGCAGAGGCAGAGTAGGTGGAGTTCTGTGAGTTCCAGGCCAGCCAGAACTACATAGTGAGACCCTATCTCAGAAAAAAAAAAAAGAAAAGAAAAGAAGAAAAAAATTACTAGAGACAGGAGAGATGGCTCAGAGGTTAAAAGCCCTGGCTACTCTTCCAGAGGTTCTGAGTTCAGTTCCCAGCAACCATATGGTGGCTCACAACCATCTGGTGCCTATTCTGCCCTGCAGGCATACATGTAGGCAGAACACTGTATTACATCAAAAATAAATAAAATCTATTTTAAAAAATTACTAGAACGCCGGGCGGTGGTGGCGCACGCCTTTAATCCCAGTACGCGGGAGGCAGAGACAGGCGGATCTCTGTGAGTTCGAGGCCAGCCTGGTCTACAAGAGCTAGTTCCAGGACAGGCTCCAAAACCACAGAGAAACCCTGTCTCGAAAAACCAAAAAAAAATAAAAAAAATAAAATAAAAAAAATTACTAGAACATTCCACTTAACTCCAGAGTCTGGCAGATTGGCTCTGGGGACATTGAGGTACACAATGGTGGTGACTGACCCAAGAACAGCATCTGCCATCTGTGTGTTGCTGTATTTTTATATTTTAACTCTAAATCTAGCTAACTTCATACCTGTACTCAACACACACACACATGCTCGTACGCACACACAAAGACAGACTTCTCTGAATTGCTATTCCTGTCACTTGGGCTCCGGATCACTCCTTGGAAGGCAGTGAGCCACATGCCCTGGTTCACAGCCATTTTCCTGAAGGTCTCAGAAGGCACAGTCAGAAGAAAGAGAATGAAAATGCTAACCAAGTTATTTCTGAGAAGCAGGACCCACCCCACAACAGCTGACACCCTAGATACTCCCCCACCCAGCTTATCGAAGCTGTCTTTATTCAAGCCACACAAACGCCAGACAGGTCACTCCAACTGTGGCTCAGAAAATGCTGTCATCCTAATGTAATCACTATGTAAGGGAGTTGCTTGCTTGTTTGTAAGTAAGGATTAAGTACTATTTTAAAACTTCGATAGTTCTGTGTAGACAGGGTTGTAGGGAAATGGGAATATAACTTTAACAGACCCTTTTAAAGATGAAAACAGCAAGTCCCTTCTAGTCACATGCCCTAGAGAAGAACTACACTGTGTACCTGTGGATGCTAATGGCCTAGAAAAGAATCACACTGTGTACCTGGTTAGAATCACACTGTGTACCTGAGAAGAATCACACTGTGTACCTGGTTAGAATCACACTGTGTACCTGATAAGAATCACACTGTGTACCTGTGGTCACTGGTGGCCTAGAGAAGAATCACACTGTGTACCTGATTAGAATCACACTGTGTACCTGAGAAGAATCACACTGTGTACCTGTAGTCACTGGTGGCCTAGAGAAGAATCACACTGTGTACCTGAGAAGAATCACACTGTGTATCTGTGGACGCTGATGGCCTAGAAAAGAATCACACTGTGTTTCTGTGGACACCAGAATGCATTTTAATTGCACAGTGTTTGATTTTATAAGAAATAGGAACCCATCAAATGTCTCTTGATTAGAAAATAGACGAGTAAAATGTTGTACATATATTTATGGAGTGGAATATTTACAGCAGTATGGCTACATGATATTCCATGTAGTTCATGGATCGGTATGGAAAGTGCTACACATGGTTAAAATAACTAGATGTTTGGGGATTTGTTAGATGTATCAGGGCCAGCGAGATGGCTCAGCAGGTAAAGGTGCCCACTGTCAAAGCTGAGGACCTGAGTCCTCACTGAGTCAATCCCTGGTACCCACAGAAGGGGAGGAAGAGAACAGACTCCAGAGTTGTTGTTCTCTAACCTTCACGGGTACACAGTGGCACATGTACGCTTACATGCAGGGATACACACACAATTTTTGTTTTTTGAGGGTTTTGTTTTGTTTTGTTTTTTTCAAGATAGGGATTGTCTGTAGCTTTGGTGCCTGTCCTGGAACTAGCTCTTATAGACCAGGCTGGCCTCGAACTCACAGAGATCCACCTGCCTCTGCCTCCCGAGTGCTGGGATTAAAGGCGTGCGCCATCACTGCCCAGGTCACACACATAATTTTTAAAGTAATAAAAACAAATGAGGTATTTATAGACTTACTATCCTTACAAGGATAGACCCAGAAACATTGTTTAAAGAAAAAAAGCTCTAATCTGACCTTGAAGCATGATATCATTTTTATAAAACCAATCCCTTCCAAAAAAAAAAAATACAACAAAACTGTGACTATCCAATTTGTTCAGTATAAATCAATGTATGAAATAACATAAGAATGTTCTGGAAAAAGTTGATTTAAAGTAAAGCACAAGCTACCCCTGAGGTAGACATTGGGCAAGACTCTAATATTTGGAAGTAAATGGATTCTTATTTATAGTTAGAACTAATTTCCTAGTTTCAGCAAACTATTTTATATTATTTATAATATAAAACATATTCTAACATATAATTACTTATATGTTACAATATTTTATATTCTAACAGGTTTATACAGACATTTAGCCTCTTTTGTATATCAAAGAAACTAAAGACTTTTTTTTGTCAGAAAATGTTTCCCACTGCGCCATCCGCACCCATCCAACCCCAGCACAGCCTCTCAGCCACATTCTCTGTGGTTAGGATAACGTGACTAGAGGGCCCTGCTAAGCTCTGCCATAGAGAGTTAGAGACAAGGACTCCTTGCAGGAAGGAAATGCCAACCGAGAGCTATAAGAAGTGCAGTTTGAAGGGTCAGCAAGATGGCTCAGTTTGCAAAGGTGCTTGCAAACAAACCTGACCACCTGAGCCCAGTCCCTGGAGCCTACATGGTAGGAGAAAAACCAACACTGAAAATTATCCTCTGACCTTTCTGCTTGCACTGTGTTAAATATATGTCCCACACTGGGGCATGTGTGTGTTCTGCACACACAGACACACACACACACACCCATAAATAAATGTAATAAAATTTTAATTACAAATTAAGGACCCCTTGAACTTTAGTCCTTCCTCTGATGATTTTGGGAGCCAGAATCTGAGAGATCGCATCTGTCAAACCAGCAGTGAGAAGGCCTCTCCCCGCATGCCTTACCTGTCGAAAACCACTGCAGAATAAGCACGCTCAGCAAAGATGACATCTGCAGCCCAGAACTCCTTCGTGGCCTTCAGACCTCTGCCTTTGCCCTCTGAAGTGAAGATCTCCACATTCTCCATGCTGCCTATTGTCATCTCAGAGTCTGTCAGGCCCGCGAGGTGGGTAGTTCACACTGAGCCAAGCCTCTTGTCCTTGCTGCTATTTAACACCTTCACCGTCCCTAAGAGCAGGACTATAAATGGACAGGCCACCTCCCCTCCCCTACTCCTCTCTGGAGTGCGGCACTCACCTCCCCCTCCACCACTATTTCTGGAGGGAAAAGGCAAACCAACAGAGTGACAACAAAGGTCTCATTCACCACCCAGAAAAGACACCAAGACAGAAAATGACCAAAGGCCGGTGTGGTCCTGACGTGAAGCCTGATGGGTTTTGAAGACGGGTTTGAAGATGATCCCCGCGTGTGCTGTGTTCTGGACTGCAGTCATGTTCAACTTGAGTTAAAATCAAGAGCACTCGGTCAGTAGGATATTTTTAGCCTCCAGATGCCTCTGTCAATCAAATGCAGACAACTGGAGTAGCCAGAGAGAAAGGCAGGGTAATACTGGCTGCTCTGGGACCCTTCAGCTGTCAGGCCCAGACTTTCTCAAGGGAGATGGCCCCTTGCCCCACCCCCACCCAGTCTTTCCCCATGGCAAAAAATAAATAGCAGAAACCAAAATGGGCCTTTGGCCTATGCATACCAGAACTCTTAAGATTCAAGGCACGTTGTTCTCTCCAATGTCTCTGGGTCTTTCACAGCAGCGCACCCCAGGGCATGGAGGTCAGGGGTGCCCTGTTGTTAGAGTTCACTGATGGTGATGGTTACAGATTCTGCACTGTGGCTTAGCTTCTATGTAGTGTGTTTAGCTTCTGAGTAGGTGTATATTCTAGATTGCTATGGTGTGAGGCTGACCCTCAAAGTTCAAGTGTCAGAAAACACAACTAAATGAAAAAAAAATAAGAAATAAAAAGAGTAGAATACTCCTAAAGTATGAAGTTTTTTACTGTAGATATAAAGGAGAACAGGCAGAGGGAAGAGTCCAGGCTGAACATGGTCGGCAGACTAAACTAGACCGTAAAAGGAGAGAAGGGGAGGGAGAGCAAGTGAGGAGCTCCCAACCAAAAGGTGGCCTTGGCCAAGAGGTCAAGAGACGGGTAGCCATAATGGCTGAGTTATAAAGGGCTCAGGCTGGGGGAGGGGAAGCAGAAGTCCCCCCCGAAAGAGGAGTGAGGAGCACTGACTGGGATTAGGCACAGGTATTGAGGGAGACTTGTCCTGAGGTTATCAGTGCTGCAGTCTGGAATGATTGGTTCTTTAGAGTTCCGCTCTCATAAATGGATTAATCCTGTTATCAAGGGAATGGATTCCTGCCAAAAAGGATGAGTTTGGCTTCTCTTACCACATCTTCTGTCCACAGGGGACATTCTGCCATTCTGTGATGCAGCCAGAAGTTCTATCATCAGCCTCCAGAATCATGAGTCAATAAATTTTTGTTCATTATAAATTACACAGTCTCTGGTGTCCTGTTACAGCAATACAAACGAACCAAGACGCACTGGTTTATGGAGCACCCTCTGCCCTAGATCTTAACAAATACAGTATCTCATGAGTGCTGAGTCTGTTACCACCACCTGAAAATGGAACCTATAAAACAAGGGTGGTGATTTCCGCCTCACTGGGTTGTGATCAGCATCAACGGAGGTGACATGCGCAAGGGCAGCACAGCTCTTGGCATTTCATACAGCGCTCGCTCAGTGATGGCTGTTTTACTTTATTTTATGTATTCTGTCACATCCTCTCCCAGTTTGCGGGATGTACCAGAAGTTCCGGTGTATCTCCAGCCAAGTTGTATGTCTGAAAACTCCTTTGAGCCTTGGGAACACAACCAACCCCCCTGTTCTACAGCATGTCCTGATTCTTGGATTCTTGGAACAAGGGAGCTAGAGAATCTCAGTGATTTCAGATATATCCTGAAAAGCAGAAACAACTCAAGGCCTTTTAAAGGAGTGCCTGATAAGGTAGACATCAGGGTCGGATGTGGAGATATCCACTGTAATTCCAGCTGTTTTAATCACTGTTCAATTGCTGCAAAGAAACACTAAAAAGAAAGAATTTAACTTGAGAGCTTGCTCACGGTTCCAGAACGTTCATTAGTCCATGACCCTCATGGCAGAAAGCATTGTAGGGGGAAGGCAGGCAGGCATAGGCGCTGGAGCAGTCGCTGAGAGTTTATATTTTATCTGCAAGGCAGAAGCAGAGGGAGAAAGACTGGACCTGGTGTGGGCTTTAGAAACCCCCAGTGACACACCTCCACCAACAAGGTCACACCTCCCAATCCCTCCCAGACAGTCCACCAACTGGGAACCAAGCATTCAAACATGAGCCTATGGGAGCCATCCTCATTCAGACCAGCACACCAGCTACTGTAGAGGTTAAGGCCGATGGATTGTGAGTTTGAGGTCATGGGCTTAAATAGTATGACCCTCTCTCAAAGTATTCTTATACTCCCCTTATTAGGGGAAGAAAAGGAATAAGAAAAAAAATAAAAACCAAAAAAAAAAAAAAAAAAAAAAAAAAAAACTAAAGACCCCTGATGCTAAGAGGGTGCAAACAAAAGTATGAAGGAGTTTTCAGCCCAGTAGCTTCCAATAAGTGCCTGGTATCAGCATTGCTCTATAAACCACAGCCTTTGTAGAAACTGTTCTGAGGACAACACTCAATCTGGCAAGGACTCAGACCTACTCTAGATGCTGCACTGGGACATGTTCAGCCTAAGCCATGGTCAAGTAAGACATCTACCTGGCCCGAGACTGAGATGAAAGACAAAAACATTAGGTTCTGAGCTTTAGCTTTGTCTGTGGCCATTCATCTTATCACAGTACAGCTGTGGGGTAGGGAGACAGATGACCTTTAGAAGATGTTCAAGTTCAAATCCCCAGAACTATGCATCCCACCTTACAAATGTTATCCAAAGTCCTCCAAAATTCATGTTGGAAGAGACTCATGGGGTATACAGAGGATGTAAAGGCAGTCCAGTTGTAGTAGTTGAACATCCTGCGGAAAGTAATTAAAGTTAAATGAGGCCATAAGGGAGACCTTCATCTGTCAGTGCTGTGGCTTCATGAGAGGAAAGACATGAGTGACAAAGCTCTGCCCCACAGTGCAAAGCCCTGCTCCACCTTGGTCCTCTGCAGAAGGTCCTACCATCAAGAGGACTTCTCCACACACAGCCGCCTGATCATGGACTTCCCCAGCCTCCAGAATCATGGGTGGAAAAGTGCATTCTTTATAAACTGATCTGTGCTATTCAGCTGGAGCATCAGCAAATGGCTGTGACACAAGCCAGGAGGAACTTTTCAAATGTGACTAAATTAGGATCTTTCAGGGAGATTATCCTGGTGGGATAATGTAATCACAGTGACCGATCCTCATATGCAGAAAGCAAGGGCAGAGAAGATAACCATGGAAGAAAGAGGGTCAGAGTCACAGAGACACTGCCAAGTGCTTTCTTGGTACTTTCAGAGATGGGTGGGTGAGTCGGGAGCCAAGAAATCCAGGAGACATGTGGAAACTGGACTAAGCAGAGAAAGAGATTGCCCACTTGCAGCTTCCAGAAGGAGCTCAGCCCTACTGACAAGGGGATCCCATTTCTGCCTGTGCTCACCAGAACTGTAAGACAATTATATCTAAGTCACTAAGTTTGTAGCAATTTGTTACTTCATCAATAGAAAATAACATAAAATATTACATTTGTCTCTTGTTACAGTAAATATAATTATCCATTTCTCATAGATAATTCCCGGCTGGCCAGGACTACACAGTGAGACCTGTCTCAAAACAAACAAACAAACAAATCTGAAATGAAATTCAGAAACAGTCTCATTTACTAACTCACATCAAAAACAATTAGTTTACCCTGATAGAGAAGACAATGAAAATTAACTTACAATAAGCTAACGTATGTGTGTTGCAGACGAACATGTGTAAATGGGTTCATTTTCATATGTTTGGGAAGAAGAATTACATTAGAAGGCCAAACGCCGAACGTAGCCAGCTCTTTGCCCCTCCAACTGTACCCACTATGTTAGTGAAAGCTAAAAATGCAGGTTGATTCTGGGCACACAAATCTGGCATGGGGAATTGACGCCTAGAACATGACTTTATGATACAGTAAGCATCTCTTAGTGGGGTGCTGAGTGAAAGAAATATCATGTTCCTTTAGTCAACAAGAAGACAGCACTCGGAAGGCAGAAACAGGTGAATCTCTGTGCGTTCAAGGCCAGTCTGGTCTACAGGGCAAGTTCCAGGAAGGCTCCAAAGCTACAAAGAAAACCTATCCCGAAAATAAAAACAAACAAACAAACAAACAAAAATTAGGGACTATGGATGGTTAGGTATGAAAGTCAGAAATAAAGGAGAAAAAATTACCAATATGGTTTGTGATAAGTTTTTAGTGTATCTGAATGAATACAGGGTGCTACCTCCCCCTGGAAAAACTATGTCCCCTATGCCAAAGATCCACAGGTTCAGCTAGGCACTCCCAAAGATTACCATCTGGTGGCAAAGCAAGGGAGCTGCAGGCATTTATGTTGCTTCTACTCTTTTGTGACAAGGACAACCCTTCAACTTCCTTCAAAGTTCATTTTGAACAGAAGTCCCTGGGGCTCTTTACTACTGTGGGCTAAAAGCAGTTTTACTGTCTTTAATGGTGGGATGGGGGGGGAGGAATCAAATGAACTTTATGACAAAAAACAACTAGACAAAATTTAAATTTCAGTTACTGTAAATATAAACTATCAGAAAACAAACATACTCCCTTTTTTGCCTGTCTTCTATGGTTGTATTCGGAGTACAGTGGCAGGCTACACCCCATGCAAAACACATGACCAGCAGTGCTTACTGCTGACCTTGCTCAGAAAAGGTTTGCCAGCCCCTGCAGAATGATAGAAAGCTCAGAATGCTGGGCAACGCTACACAGGCCAGGAGGAGCTCGCGGCCTGTGTGTAGGATAGGCGATCCTTCTATCGGAGTTTACCGGGAAAGAAAGCAAGTGCAGCATGTTGAGTTACACCATAGTGTAGTACTAACAGGAATCGGGGCCTTAGAGATGGCTCAGTGGGTAAAGGTGCTTATAGTTCCAGCACTTGGGAGTCTGAGGCAGAAGGATCCTGTTTTCCAGGCCAGTCTGTAAGTGAAACAGTCTTCAAAAAAAAAAAAAAGAAAAAGAAAAAGAAAAAAAATCCCAGGGGAGCTTTGACTCACCCATGTAAATTCAGTCCTTGAGAGAGATAGGGGATTGACCTGGTGACTGGGAGTGAGGGGAAGAGAGGCATCTTCAGGAACAGAACTGCTCTTTAAGCTACAAGGAGGGCTGCAGGCTCTCGGGGTGTGAGACTAAGCGCACCTGTAGCATTTGGTAGCGCTGAAAGCGGGGAGCTTTGGGGATGGAAGATTCCACTGTAGGTCAGTTCCCCTGCAGTCAGGAAGTGGTTTCTGTGGATTGCCTTATCAGGAAACTTCCTGAGTCAACTCTGAGCTGCTCAGTCCACCTAAGGCTTTTAGGTGATTAACCCTTCAGTCACTGGTTTGGGACCTGCCAAACACACACATAGTTCTTTGTGTAAAGAAGATTGTTGCCAAGCCCCCGGATCTGAGTTCGACCACTGGGGTTCACACGGCATAAAAGAGCCCCAACCTCACCCCATACCACACAAAATAATTGAAATGTAACCCCCCCTCCAAAAAAAAAATAACTGAACATACTTTAGCGGTGTTTGTGTGAGATGTCTCTATGTGATGGGAGCGTGTATGTTATGTGTGTGATATTTAGGAAAGAGCATACAAACGGAGTGATCTAGGGGCGGGAGACTGGATATAATCAGATGGTCATGCCGGGCGTGCGTTGAAGAGTACTGTGTACTTACAAGCATAACCTGAGAGGGGAAGAAGGAATGTACGGGCTATGCTGGCACTGTATCACGAGCAGGGACTGTGTGCGTTTTGTAGATACGTTGCCGATGACCCAAACGCTTCCTGACACACTTTGGCAAGAAGGAAGGACACCGAGAGCCGGTTAGTCCGAAATGGCGGGAAGGGGAGGGGCGGACATGGAGGGCGGGGCTGAGAAGTGGCCGGCGCGCGGGGCCCCCTGCTGCGCACGCGCGTCCTCGCGCCCCGCCGCCATGGCGCCGGCGTCGTCCAGTCAGCCGCGGGTGGTGGCGGCGACTTCCCCTCAGGAAGTTAGGTCTCCGCCTCCTCCCCCCCACCCCGCCTGCTCTGCGGCGGAGGCGGCGGCGGTGGCAGCGGCGTTTCTGCCTCTCCGCCACCTCCACCGCAGCCTCTGACCCCCGGCCGGCGTTGTTGGCGGGGAGGGGGACAGTAGTTGTAGACGCTCGCCCCTACCCTCAGAGAAGGTGAGTTCCCGCCCGGCGGCGGGGGCGGCCCGAGCTTCAGCCCTCCACTCCCGCGGCCCGGTGAGGGCCGAGCGGGGGCCCCGCCTGCGACATGGCCGACGACCCGGGCGCGGCCCGGCGGCCCTCGGAGCGCCTCTCTCCTCGGGACCCCTCGGCACCCGCCGCGCCATGGCCGAGCGACGCCGCCGCCTGGCGAGCAAGCCGAGGTCCGAGGGGGCCGGGGGTAGAGGCGGCCCGGCCGAGGGCAGTGGGGGTCCGTGAGGACGCCCCGTCTTCAGGCGACACCCCCGCCCCCGAGGGCAGCCTCGGGTCGGTGGCTGCGGAGAGGACACTTCATGGCAGGCCACTTAGGGACAGGTGGTAGGGAAGTAGGGGCCTCCGGAAGGGAGCGTGGGGGCTTCCTGGCTGGACGTTTGCTCCAGGAAGTGGCGAGGTGAGGTGGAGGGGATCACCCTGAAACTTTTCTAGGCTCCCGAGACCCTGGAAGACGACTTTAAAAAGACGCACCAACGTACCCTGACGCGGTTGGAGCTTTAGTGTGTGCGGACCAGCGTGAGGGTGGCGAGAACCAGTGCTTGGCTCCAGACCTCTGCCCAGTGGCGGAGCCGAGCTGTGTTGTCAGCTGCTCAGGGCTGACTTGGGCCTTTTAAAAAGGAACTGGGTAAGGAGAGAAGGCCGAGCTGAAGTAGGCAGACTGACTGCAAAGGCTTAGTCACTGCTGCCATCTGGGACTTAGGGAAGTCGGGTGCCTATCCTCCCACAGACACTGGGAAGGTGCCTCTGCCCTCCTAATTACACCTCAGAGAAGTGAGTTTTGTAGTCTTTGAAACAGACACTGCTGAGTTGTGGGAAATAAGCTTAAAATGACAGGAAAGAGCCTTTGGGTGCGGTGCTGCACGCCTTTAATCCCTGGCACTGGAAGAGGCAAAGGCCATTCTGAGCAACCTAAGTGTTCCTGGCCAGCCGAAGCTACATAGTGAGACGCTACCTCAGGGAAGAAAGGGTAGGGAGGTCGAATTGTAAGCATTTTAAAGTAAATAACTTTAAATGAGTAATCTCTACTATGGGTAGAAGGTAGAACTCCTGTCTAACATACCTGAGGCCCTGAGCACCACAAACACAGAGTCCAGACACCTGTCATCAGGTGAGGGCTAAAATAAACAGGGAACTTGACAGCCAGAGCTTTGTCAGCTACTAGGGGCCGTGGGAAATAGTGGTCAAGTCGCTTTATATGGATAGAGGGCTGGAGAGTTTTGATAGTCTCACCAACACATTTACCAAAATACAGAAATCTGTTGGCTATCCCAGACAGCCTGCGCCTGTGAAAGAACTATTAAAGCAGTTTTGGAAATAGTTTTATATCGTGGCACTTGGTCCCCCAATGCATAAGATTTCGGTAAAACACCCAGAAACAACATTTTTAGTACTTGCCGTGTTGCCTTTTATTGTTCCTTGTCTTCAACATGAAAGACAACAGAAGCCAGAATATTGCAGGGTAATTTAGGTACTATTTTCTAGAACATCTCTAAACATAAAACTAAAGTAACTTTTTTTTTTTTTTTTTTTTTTTTTGAGACAAGGTTTCTCTATAGCTTTGGTGCTTGTCCCGGAACTAGCTCTTAGTAGACCAGGCTGGCCTCAAACTCACGGAGCTCCACCTGTCTCTCCCTCCCAAGTGCTGGGATTAAAGGCAGGCAACCCATTGTTTGGCTGTTATCAGTATTTTATGCCCCCCCCCCTTTTTAAACACAATTCACTCTGGGAAAATGACACAGAAGTAAAGTAATAGTATCATTGAAACATTTTTATAAACACTTCAATTAACCATTACTGGAAATTTGTTAGAATAAAGTAAGTTTCTTTACTCAGTCTAGAATATCCTGAGATTTTTTTTCTTTGTTTCTTTGTTTTTTGAGACAGTGTTTCTTGGTGCATAGCTCTGACTGTCCTGGAATTCACTTTGTACAGGAGGCTGGCCTTGAACTCACAGAGGTCTGTCTACCTCTGCCTCCTGAGTGCTGGGATTAAAGGCATGTGCCACCACTACCTGGCCACAAATTATTTATTTTGCCTTTAAAACGGCCTGCCTGTCACCAATATGTCACCAATATGTCTGGGCATATTGGTGTCAACACTGTAGTTCTTTTTAGCTCTAAGGTCTATGATGATTCAGAATCAACTATTCATGGAAAAACAACTTTCCCACTGGTTTCCACATCTACTTTCTAATATGTGCAAAAGACTAAGTGATAATCTGTTTATCAGTAACCTCTGTACTATTTATAGGTAATTAAAAAAAAAAGAGAGACTTAGTGAGATGGGAGTCTTCACCAAGAATAGGTTTTATTGCTAGTTTCTCTGCAAGTATATGACCCTGAAAAAGTCCTGTACTTTATGGTTTTGGGTTAGGTCATCTGAGTGGGGTACTTTAATTGGACTAGCCCAGTGGTTCTCAACCAATAATGTATCTGTCCCAAGCTCCCCATCATTCATTCATTTGGCAATGTCTAGAGACATTGTTGCTTGTTGCCACTGAACAGAAGAACATGGTAAGCAAATGCTATAGGTAATCTATTTGGTATAGGACAGAGATGCCGCAAACATTCTAAAATACACGAGACAGCCCCCACATATACAACCATTATTCTACTAGAACATCAGTATTGTTAAGGCTGAGGAACCCTACACTAACCAAACTCTGAAGGCCTGTGATTTACAGTTTTGGACTTGTTTTTAGCAGTCTTAATTGTATTCCATGGTGTGGCTGTGTGCTGGGACAGTAGTCATAGAACATGGAAGTTAGGACTCTTAATGGCCATTTGATGACATTCAAAAAAATCTCTGAGTTAAGATCAAAATCAGATTTGAGAAAACAAAGATACAATAGTTTAAAAAGTTGCCTAGTTACTGTTAGGGTAACTGCCTTCGGAACTCCTTTCCAGTCCTCTCACCTTGCTAGTGTTGAGATTATAGGAATGTACCACCCTTCCCTGGTTTAGGACTCAATATATTTTATTTTTGATAGTTATAAAAGGTATGCTAAAGCCAGGTATGGTGTTTCACACTTTTAATCCCAACAGTTGAGAGACAGGGGTGTTCAAACAGATTTCTTGAGTTTTGAGCCTGTGTGGTCTACATAGATTGTCCTGTCCACCTCCCACCCCCTAAAAAAGTTGAACTGGGCATGCCTGTAATTCCAGTGTTCAAAGACTGAGGCTGGAGACTCAGGAGTCCAAGGCTGGCCTGGACTGCACTGTGAGACCCTGTTTTAGAAGAAAATATTTGAATAGTTATTAAAACAAACTTCAAATTTCCACTTTTGCTGGAAGACAAAAAAGTAAGGTGATGCTTGGAATACTGTATGTATCTGTGTTTAAGGCCATGGTAGGAAGGCGCTCCAGAAATGACAAAAGAATTCTACTTCCAGTCATTACAGTTCCATGCTTACTTTCAAAATAGGACTAGTAAAACTTTTTAGCAGGAAGTTGATGAGTAGACTCACGAGTTGAGGAGTTTGGGGCTGACCTGAACACAGTGAGATCCTGTCCCAAGAAGAGTCAGTATCATTATGGTCAGTTTGTGTGCACTAATTTGGAGTCAAGAGAAGTTGTGGAAACTACATTATTTAACCTTTTTACCTTACTGACTTTACAGTCAAATGTAGCTAAACTACATAATTTTAAACAACTATAATTGCAAGTCAGTATATTGAAGTATATTTCTGACTTAACAGTTCTTTGAGCACACATTTTAAAGCTAACCTTTTAAATCTGCATACTGGTGCCGAAGTCAGGCTTAGTTTGATAACCAGCATAAATACAGAGTTTTTCATTTTTGCAAAAGTTAACACTGTAGTACAGATACATGTAACAAACCCCTTCAAGATATGCTTTCCCAGTTATTTTCAATAAAATATAACTAACATATAAGACTGAACCAAATCAGACGGCCGCGAGTCAGCAGGATTACACAGAACTAAGAATGTGTAATTATTCAATGATAAGTACATCTAGAAACCCAAATGAAATAAAGTAAGGTCTGGGAAGTGAAAGATG